TTGCTTAGTGGATTTTTGTCTCTGAACATCAACTGCCTTAACTGTGAGCAACCCTTTCCATGAGCTCACACGACAGGGATAATTACATTGGCACAACTCAGAAGAGAGCTTGAATGGGGCCTGAGTAATCCAAAGGAATCCTTTCCTAACCTTTATCATAAAACATTGATTTTTTTTTTCCATTTTATTCCTGGCTGTTCATTTGCCTTGGATTAAAATATTCTTGAAGCTACTATGTTTTGAGATTCAGCTTGCAAATGAAGACAATTTTCTGTCTCTGTATGAATGTGCTAAATATTTCCTGCTTAGCTTTCAGGTGGTGGTCTGGTGGGGCACAGGTCTCATATTACCTTATATCCTTTCTGCCATCCTCAGGCACACATTAAATACTCTAGAACATCCAAAATTGCTCTAGGTATCTACATTTAGACAACTGCTCTAAGATGATTGACTTTCTTCATTGAAAGAGACAGGTATGTCCAATGGGCAATGCAACACCTTTGTCAGGTGGCTTTCCTGGGGTGAAGCACCCTGTCCCCTAGAGATATTTATTGTTCTCCATCAAGATGACTCACAATCAAGTGTGATGACTTAATGAAGAAATAGCAGAGCAGCATATTCCCTTCTCTTTTAGGAAATTTTTAATGGTATTCAGGATCTGTTCTCTATCACAAAAGTGAATCTCCACCAGATTTTAAGAGGTCAGAATTGGTTGCCTTTGGTTTTTATGGTTAATTTGGACTGGGATGTAATACTGTTTCCTTGTAACGCAGTATCCTGGCATGGACACTCAAGAATCTTGCTGTGGTAGCCTGAGGGAAGTGGGGAATCTGTTTACCAGAAGGATTTCCTTACAGGCTACTGCTGGGAAGTGATAAATGGCATCTCTGAGCAAACCAAGAAATGTTAATGTCAGAAAAAAAATCTGTGCTGAGACACAAGCATTTTATTTCACTGGGGCATCTTCTGATCTTCCCCCCACCTTAAAAGAAAACACCAAATAGCTAAGTTTTTATTGCTGCTTTAAAATGAAACACATCCCACCCTACTGGCATTTATTTTCCCCCACTGATGATGATAGCTAAGGCAGAAATGTACATCTACCTTCTACTCGTTTGGTTCCACCCCACTTTTCCTCAGGTTGATGTCCATATAAAAAAACAACCACCTCTCCTAAATAAATCACAGAATTACATTGAGGTTGGAAGATACCTCTGGAGACCATCTCACTCAACGCCAAAAAAATCTGGAGACTGATATTCAGCACTCAGCTCAGATGATGCTTCCTGATAAATATTGAGTGGTCATGTTGGCTGGAGTTTCATCTAAAAGAGATGATGACAATGTGTTCCTTTATAGAAGCTGCTTATAAGAGCCTAGGTGCCTTGAACAACACCCCATATCCTGAATTTCCCACTGTCCCCTCTGCAAGACCATTCCCACCTCTTACCTATCCTGAACATCAGATTACTTTCTCATAATTTAATCAGATCTAAGATTACACCTCTTTCTTTGGGGCTCAGAGTGCTTCTGAAAGAAGACTAACTATTGTGTCTTCTTTTCACTGTGGTGTTATTGCCAAATCTTACAATCATATCTCTTAAGCCACCTCCCCAATTTTCTGTTTGATGTTCAGGTTCTTCCCCAGCATAAAGATCAGTGACAGAAAGTGTGTGGAAAATACAGATTCCCGAGCTGTAGCAACTCTTTGCCTGATGGTTGTTAGTCCAAGCAGAAGGATGGGATTCCTTCTCTTGCAGGATAAAAAAATAAAGCTTTTTATGATGTTTTTGTGTCGTTTCCTAGTCCTAAGCAGTGGGATGCAGAGTCCAGAAAAGCCAGGGGAAATTCTGTCACTAGTTGAAACAAGGCAAATATTTCACTCAGCATTCAGGAGCAACAGTAGACACTGTAGCCTGCAGGTTCAGGATCTGACCCCTTCACATGAGAAATGACCTGGACAAGATTGACAAATAGACCTGTGTAAACCTCATAAGTTTCCACAAGGCCAAGTGCAAGGTCCTGCCCCTGGGTCAGGGCAGCCCCCGGTACCAGCCCAGGCTGGGGGTGCAGGGCTGGAGAGCAGCCCTGGGGAGAAGGCCCTGGGGGTGCTGGGGGGGAGGAGCTGGTCAGGAGCCCCCCCAGCCTGGGCTGCCCCCCCCAGCAGCGTGGGCACAGGGCAGGGAGGGGATCCTGCCCCTCTGCCAGCTCTGGGAGACCCCCCTGCAGTGCTGGGGCAGCTCTGGAGTCCTCAGCACAGCAGAGCCAGGGACCTGCTGGAGCGGGGCCAGAGGAGCCCCAGCAATGCCCCGAGGGGGGAACCCCTCTGCTGGGAGCCCAGCAGGAGAGAGTTGGGCTGGGGCAGCTGAGAGGAGAAGGCTCCAGCTGGGGAGACCTGCTGGGGGCTGCCAGGACTGCCAGGGGCCTGCCAGAAAGATGGGGGGGGGACTTTTGAGCAGGGTCTGTTGGGACAGGACAAGGGGGGATGGTTTGAAACTCCAAGAGGGAGATTTAGGCTGGAGAAAACAAAGACGTTGTTGACCCTGAGGGTGTTGAGCCCCTGGCCCAGGCTGCCCAGAGAGGTGGTCGCTGCCCCATCCCTGGCACCATCCCAGGGGAGGTTGGCCGGGGCTCTGAGCACCCTGCTCTAGCTGCAGATGTCCCTGCTCCCTGCAGGGGGTTGGACTGGGTGACCTTGAAAGGTCCCTTCCCACAAAAATCATTCTGATTCTAACCAATTTGTATCTATCCTTTAAAAAGAAAGAAATCTGAGAAGCAATACACAGAGTCCTGAGACACGCTGAGCGAGCTGTAAGTCAGTAAACACCTAAGAGTGGCCATTCTGCTTCAAGATGATTTACCTCTAATAAAAAATACCATATTGATTGCCCTGAAGACAGATGACCCCTGTACAGCCCAGGCAGAGAGGTGTTGAGAGGATGGGATTCCTGCAGCAGCACAGGAAGTTCTGTGCTGGGCAAACTGAGATGAACTACTATCCCTTCCCTAGGAAAGGATTTGGTTTGTGTAATATAAATAAGCTCAATAACTCTGCTGGCTCTGCTCCATTGATTCCTGAAGCTGTGTCGTTGGCACCATCTATTTTCTGCACACACAACGGGCCAGTGATGAGTGTGATTGAAGGATCTATGTACAGACACAGAAACGTGTGAGGAAAAGGCAAAAAAATAGCTTTCACTGAAAAAGAAAAATGTCCATTGCAAATAGGAATAGCTCCTAAACTTAGTGGGGTTTTAAAGTCAGATTATTTTACATTAATGTCAGAAAGGGTTTTCTGGTCTATATTTCATTCTTCTCCTTTTTTCTTTCTTTTTCTCCTTTTTGCCTTCATCTTTTTTCTAATTATAGGAAGACACAGCAAAAGATCTCACTAAAGAAATAAAAATGTAAAAGAAAAAAAGATGGAGAAAGTAAAGAAGGAAAATAAATATACAGGTGGCAAAACACTACCCAAAATGCTGTAATTTATTAAACTATAGGTTTTCTATAAACTTTTTGAGTGACCTGCAAAGATGTTTCCTTTAGAAATCTATGGACCAAAAGTGGATTGATTGATAAATGACAAGCAGTAGGCATAGGCTGAGATTTGTGGGCTATTTTCTGGTTCTGTTTCATGCTGCTCATCACTTAGATTTGGTTTTGTTGCTTGACACCCAGTGGTGCTTAATGTGAGCTTTAGAGAGCAGAGCTTCACTTATTGGGGTTTCTACAGCATCAAACTCAACTGGTCTCAGGTTCCAAGTGTTGTTACAGTGCAAACAGTAAATAAAAAATACTGAAAATGGTGAGATCTCAGTGTATGCCCACTAAAAAAGTCAATGCCATATGTTTTCCTGTAAGAAGAATTGCCTGAAGTGTTTAACTGGATCTTGAGTGTGATTCTGCTTGTCTCTGTCTTGTTCTTTCACCCTTCACACTTTCACTCTCTTCTTGGCACGGGATGCAGCGCTGTTATCTTGGTACCTCTCAATGCCCTTTTGGTGCTCACTGATCTCAGAAAACCCCAGAAACACTTCCCAAACTAAAGACATGGGCTCTGAAGGGGGTCTGATTCTTCATTCCCTTGCAATATTTAGAGTGGGGCCCTTTCTTCCTGCACTGTTATGCCAAGCACGTGTGATAACTGCCCAACTGTCATCACAGCTCCTCTGAGATTTGCTCTTTTCCACGCTCTGTTGCTTGTTAAAGGGTTGATAATTAAGTGACACAGTGAGGTCAGGGTGCATCTTGCAGGCAAGATAGTGCTTGGTCCTTCACCAGAGCTAGCTCACTTGGTAACCCATTGTAGAGTCAATTCTTATTGGTGAACCCCCAGAAGCTCTAAAGATGTTCTCCTGTGTCTGAGGAGGAAGGAACAACCTATCATCAGGAGTGTGGAGACTCCTGACAGCACAAAGCTGCCAGATGGTGGCAATTCTAAAACCTTCTCAGGCACCAAGACAATCTCATCATCCTTTTAGAGGCAAACAAGTGGTTTACCTGGGAGCTTAACTTTGGTCTTACAAAACAAGGAATTGCAGAAGCGTGATGGGAGAGGGATCAAGGCTTTGTCTAACCCATGCTCATCACAAGAGTGATTCCTGCTCCTTTAGAACCTAGATAAACACTGAATTTGGGTAAAAATTGTTTTCTGCCATATTAATCCTGATTCCTCGTTGTATGTAATCACGTTGCTCATGCCTAAATCTTTCCCAGAAGAAGTGAAATGTTGTAATATATGAGATAGCTTTTTCCTGAGGCAATCTCTCTCAACCCTTCCCTATCTTAGGAGATCTGATTAAAACACAGCAGTCTTCCTTTCAGTGAAAGACTACTGCAACACAGCCTGCCAACAGGGTCTGGTAGATCCTGAAGTTCCCCAGAACCATGTTTATTTTATTGTGGCCAACATCCAAATCTCAATTGATTCTGGACCTGGCAGGTAAGACCTAGTTCTGCTCTACTGGATTGTGGTGATCCTTTTGCTCTTCTCTTTCTAGATTGACAGCATGCAGGCCCTGCTCCATTGCCCCAGCGTGCTGGTGTGTGTTGGCCGGGAGCCATTTAAACCCATCTCCACAGAGAACTTGAGGAAACACTCAGTGGAGAAGCTGCCCGAGGTAGCTCCTCGTTCCAACGGCAACAACGTCAACGCAAACAACGAAAGTAAGGAAAACGTCTGGGGCGTAGTGCACAGTCCTCTCCAGGCCTGTGTCCCACCACATGGAGACTCCTGACGCCTATTGTGCTGCCCCAATGTGCCGATTTCACGTGGAAAATGTACTTCCCTCTCCCTGCCTCCCAGGCCTTTCCATCCTCCCCTGCTTTTTCTCTGGTTTCCTTCTAGGATTTCCTCCCTACACCCTCCAGTCTTTCTTGTACATGTTCCCCGTGTCTGGCTGACTTCCCTTCCTCTTTCATATCTCTGTGTCTCCTTTTCCTTCCAGAACTCCCTCCTTTCCTGTGTCTGCCTCTGAGACTCCCCAAACCCTAGAGATTTCCCACGAATCCTCCATCCCCTTGTCTGTCTGTCATGCAGCACCTGCACTTCTGCATTTGCCTGCTCCCAGACCACAGGATGCTCTGGTTTTGTCAGCAGGAGACTCAGTTTCCCAGACTCAGTTACACTTTCTCTAAATGATTTATACCTTCTGGTGGGCATTTCAAACTCCTGACAATTAATATCTACCTCCAGTGTAGCCCTTTGGAAACAAAGCATGTTTTCATGGAAAGTTTATGTTCAGGAAGGAAGGTGTTATTGGTTATTCAGGATGATATTTCTTAGGCACTTCATTGTGAGTTATCTCAGGTCACAGGTAAACCAGCTGCTCTTGGTAGTCTATGGAGAGAAACTTCCCATCTCCAGATGGCAATTCATCCTACCTATATTAGGGAATTGTTTTAGGATGAAACAAAGTGGAAGGGCACCTCTTTCTCTCCATTGTCAACACCAGGAACCAGGAAAGATTCCTTTGTGTATTGACCACTAGTTGTAGAAATTCAAGGGCAGAGGCATCACTCACTCATTGCCTGAGACATAAAAAATTGGAGGAAGCAGTGGGAATAAACTGAAGATTTGTCCATCAAGATACTGAGCCAATATATCAGGTCAGATAGAAGCTATTTCATGTGCTGTTGATCTTAGTTGGTGTGCTCCTTGTTCTACACTTCTTTCCCAAAATGTCCTCCATTCAGCTGTGTATCCATATACCTACAGAGGTGTGTGGTAGGTATATAAATGTAAACTTTGAACAAACATATGTATTAGAAACAAGATAGATGCATACCTTGCAAGATGGCATGATAGAAATGTACTCTGCTTGAGAAGAAGTGGCTAGGACCTCAATAAATCTATGCAAATCACTGCACTGGGCCATAGAGATGTTCTTCAGATTACAATTCTTAAAATTCCCTTTCTGTCACTGATTTCCTCTAACTACCACTATTTTTCTTTGTAACCATCACCAGCTTACAATTCATTTTGCATTTGTCCTTTATATTTGAATAAGCATTATAATACACAACATGAAAAGATGTAAATGTATCACTGAGGGACGTGGTTTAGTGGTGACCTGTGAGTGCTGGGTTAGTGGTTGGATTCAATGATCTTGAAGACCATTTCCAACCTAAATAATTCTATGATTCTATAATTATTCATTAATTACCACAGGAACAGAGTGCTGCTCTGGTCTACGTGGCCACACGTGTGTTCCCTGGCATGTGAGTGAAGAAGTGAGTGGTGCACATTAAATGCACAACACTTGACCCTTATCTAAGGAAGGGGGTCATTTCTCCATGTACTTTTTTCCCCCAACTGACTAAGAAGGATGAAAAGTTGTACACTTAAATAAAAGGATATTTGCTATGTGGTAAAATACAGAAACTTTGAGACTAAATTGCTTTGTGAATATATTTTTTTTCTTCCTGGCATGCACATAAAGCAACAACAAAAAAGTATGTTTCAATTTAGATTAAAAAAAAAAATAAAGTTAAGGTGTAGAAGATTTTAATACAGACTGTTTGTTCAAAACTTAACATTTATGGCCATCACTTAGTCAAAGTCAAATTTTCAAATTATGTAAACTGTCATGGACTTGGCTTTAATACAATAATACCAGCATTGAGTAGTTTGGGGTTTGATCTATTTTGTGTCATCTTTATATGAGTTAACGTTTCTCTCTTTTTTTTTTACTTACTTCAAACTCCAGTGAACTTTGGACTGAAAGCCAAAAAAAGTGTTATCCATCCACGGTCAGCATCGAGCAACAGGTCAATGAGGTTTTCTTTATCATCAGAGAAGTCGTATCCTAATGGTCTCGCTGCCTCTCCGGATAACGGGGCACCTTTCTCAAACAGTTTCTCCCATCCAAAACCTGGTGACCTGGTCCACTCCTTGGTGAATGATGACATAGAAAAGCGGGTCCATGTCAACAAGGATGGTAGCCTGTCCGTCGAGATGAAAGTCCGCTTCCGCCTGCTAAATGATGAGACTTTGCAGTGGTCCACCCAGATCAGGAAGTCCAACGTGATGAACCAGATGCCTTGTGAAGAGGGAGGCGTAGAGGAGGACAATGGAGTAGACCCCATACAGAAAATGAATCCAGAAGTCAGCTCAGAGGCAGACGATTCATTATATCCCTGTGATATTGATTCTTACATGTCAAAACTTGAGGAGTCAGAATGTGATGAGGCTCATTGTCATAGCTGTGGAAGGAAACACCAGGACTATGACATTTGGAAAAACCCCATGCACACATCTCAGAGGGAAGAGCCCAGTGTACGAAGCACCTGGCACACACGATCTTCATGCTCCAGCACATCTTCTCGGAGGAGAGTAGTCCACAAAAAAATGGCATCTGTGGATAGCATCCACACCACATCCAGTGGGGAATTCTCTGAGCACGTTGTGCAAGAGTCCTCATCCTACTCAGAGACTATAGAGAACAGAGTGGAATACAGATCCATTAAAAAGTGTATGTGTCGAACTGATTTGTCTACAGCTGCTTCCAATGGAGAAGACCAGCAAGAATACACGCGGACAAGCACGAGCAACAGTCACAGACCTTCATCCTTGGGTTTAATGTCACATTCAAGCTGTGAAAACAACCTGGATAGTAAGGACGCCCCTGAAGATCATGAGGCTGGCAAAAACAGTTCACAAAATGACAACGAAAGCTGTTTTGAAGTTTCCTCTGTGAAGTGTTTAAAGGAAGATATGGAAGAGGTTGAAAGCAGCAGAGTTGGGAGTGTCATGTCAAGGTCATCTCTGCGGTCCAGACAGAGCACGAGGAACATCTGTGAGGAAACAAGTAGCGTGGGTAGGAGCATGTCCTCCTCAAGCGTTCAGAAGGCAAATCAAGAAGATAACATGAGGTCCTCCACTCCTGCCAATAGCGTGTACAGCAAGTCTAGTAACCACACCACACCAAGAGCAAAGAGTGCACAGGATGACCACTCTGATGACAACGCAGTGCTCTCCTCCTCCAGCGAGTGCTGCTCTAAGAGAAAGGCTGAAGAGGCTGATGCAGAACAAGAAGAAAGTGAAATGAATGAAGTCAGCTCAGTGTCAGCAAAGACAAAGCCCAGCCAATCAATCAGAGGTGAGAGCAGTGAAGGTGAACGATGTTCTACACAAGGAACCTCCCGTTCCAGAGTTAGTGACAGGAATAGCAAGAAAAGTGACAGTGATGAGATCATTTTGTGCAATGCCTCTTGGTCTTCCAGGGGATCCAAAAGGAGCAAACGCAGCCATATTCATTTGGATGCACAGTCTGAAAGGTCTGTGTCCTCACTTGAATCTACTCCAAATAAAAAGAAGAATTCCTTACATGCAGATGATCCAAGATCATGCAGCAGGGCATCTAATTATTCCAAAAGTTCATGTGAAATCAAGAAAAAATCCATTGGAGATCCCATGTCTCACAACTCAGGATCTTTTCAGTCAAATATTTCATCTACTAGTGAAGCAGATGCAATTAGAGGTTTTACTGAGGAGAAAAGCTCGAAAAGTACCACCCATGGCTACAGTGAATCCTCAATAGGCTCAAAGAAGAGAAGTCATAGAGAAGAAAACAGCAAGCCATCATCCCTCTGCTCAAGTGTTTCAAATATTAACAGAAAAGATAGAGAGGGTCACTCCAAGATTAATTCAGAGGACCCCTCTTCAAGAGAGGGAAGTATGAGTGAGAGTCTATGCTCAAAATGTGACCGCTCAGCTGAGACTGGGACTAGGAATGGCAATCCTGCCAGTGTCTCTTCAAGAGTCTCTTCAAAGTCAGAAGTAAAAGATAAATGCTTGTTGACACAGATATCCCAGGAAAGTAGTGATAGGTGTTCACAGTCAAATATATCTCAGTCTTCCAAATCAAGGCAGACAAAGCCTAGAAATCTTCATGTGAAGATGTCCAACTCCAGCCGAGCATCACTGTCTGAGACTTTGTCAGTCCGTAGCATGCATTGTCCTGCCCCACCAAAAGGGAAGCCAAAGAGCAAACAAATACGTTCAACCATGTTGAAGAACTCCTCCATCAGCAGCGTAGGTACCGAGTCAGTGCTGACCACAGGAAAAGAGCAGAAAGAAATTGTAGATTCCTCCAAACCAACTTCCTATGGGTCCAAATCAAACGCAACTGAAACAAACGATCAGAAGAATAAAGAGGGGGATGATTCTTGCAGCAGAAAAGTGGAGGGAGAGTTGGAATGCGCTGACGTGCAGCAGGAAGAGAGTGATATAATGCCATCTACTCTACCAAATACCTCTCCAGAAGAAGTTGTGCAAGAATGGTTAAGTAAAATCCCTTCAGAAACATTGATTATGAAATATGAAATGGAGGATGATCCAGAAGAAGAATGTGCAGAAGCAACCATGGTGGCATCATCCTGTACTAATGTCGAGGGAACCCCAGAGGATGAAAAAGCAGAGAAAAAGGATGTAGAGGAGGCTGAAAATGAGGCAACGGATGAAGTGGGAAAAGAGACAGCAGAAGGCACTGCTATTAATGAAGAAGCTGAAGAATGTGAGAATCAGGAGCAGATCTCTGAGGCTATGTCTGAAGCTGCCAAAGCTGATCAGGCAGAATGCAACCAGTCGGTTACATCCAGCCAAAATAACAGAAGAGACCTGCCAACCTCTGTTCAGACTTCTGTCCAGATCATGAAGGCCTTGCTCAGTTCAAAACATGAAACGAAATTTGACCGATCACACAGTTTGCCTGAAGTGTCCCCTACCATGGGGAGAAAACTGAGTAACTCTGCCAACATTTTGCTTACTTGTCTTGCCGGTCTCCAGCTCCTTGATGAAGAGTCAGAAGATCCATCAGATAAATCAAAAGGTTTGAATAAATCAAGGTACATGGAGCTGCTGAACATTTTTCAAGCCTTGTGGTTTGGATGCACAGCTGAAAAAAGTGTTCCAAGCTCAGGTCAAGAGGCAAGTGAGCAAGCAAAGACAGCCTCTGGGTTTAAAGCCACAAAATATGTGGATTATGACTTCACTCCCATGTCCTCCTCTGGGGTTGATGTTAGCAGTGGTTCTGGTGGCTCAGGAGAAGAGACTACAGCTTGTGCCAGGGACTGCACTATAACGGCACAGAAGGCTGCTGAATGCAAATCAGCTGGACAAGAGGAAAATGTGGAGACAGGCACTGAAGTGACTGAGGCTGAGGAGCAATGCAAAGAGGAAGAGCAGTCATGCCGACCTTCAACAGCCTGCTCAGAATCAAAAGTTGAGGAAAAAGCACAGTCTACTAAAGAGGACTCTCTAATTCAGGAGGCAGAAGAGAATAAGGAGGATCAGTGCAGTAACTGTGAAAATGGTCAGGAGGAAGAGGAAGAAAATGAAAACAAAGAAGACAGCAAATTAACTGAAAATGAACAAGAAGAAGCTGAAGCTCCAAATGATGATGTCTCAAAAGCAAATCTTGAAGAGGAAGCTGATCAGCTAGCTGCTGATGATGATACAAATGTCAATGACGTAGATTGTGTGACAGAGCTGAAAGCTGATTTGGAAGAGCAGCTTGAAAAAGAGTCACCAAATGACCCAGAGCCCAAAGCTGATTTGGAAGAGCAGCTTGAAAAAGAGTCTCCAAATGACCCAGAGCCCAAAGCTGATTTGGAAGAGCAGCTTGAAAAAGAGTCTCCAAATGACCCAGAGCCCAAAGTCGATATGGCCACCAGTGTGGACACATCCCTTGTCCAGCAAAATTCAATGGACCCAGACCCAGTCTGGGTCCTGAGACTGCTCAAGAAAATCGAGAAAGAGTTCATGGCTCACTATGTCAGTGCCATGAATGAGTTTAAGGTCAGGTGGAACCTGCAGAACAACCGGCAGACGGATGAAATGATACTGGAGCTGAAGGAGGACGTGAGTAAAAGGATACAAAAAAGCATAGAGAAAGAGCTGAGGAAGATCAAGAACAGAGCTGGGAAGAAGATGCCAAGACCTCCGGATGAACCACTCAAGCGTGAGTCAACACTCCAAACTGAGCAGAGGAGGCGACGGCTGCAGACTATGCATAAAAAGTCACACTTCAACGACAAGAATGGGACCGAGACTTGGCTGGAGGACACATCAGACTTATCATTTCATGTAGATGAAGATATAGTATTTAGTGCAGCTTTTGAGGCCAGTATTAGTAAACAAACAAGTGAGGACGAGTACTGCCCATGTGACTCTTGTGTGAGGAAAAAAATGGCTTCCAAGCCAAGAAACATCGTGGTGGCCACCAATGCCCCAGTCATGAAGGCGTTTGATTTACAGCAAATCCTGAGGCTGAAGAAAAATGACAATGGGGCAGACTGTGTATCAGAAGCAGCCCAGGAAGTCAAAACAGTTCCCACAGAGGAAGTGGCAGAAAATTGTAATCCAAATGAGGAGAATGAGGGTGATCTCCAGCCAAGTGAACAAGAAGTGGAGGGTGATGAAGAAAAGGACCCAGAATTAAATGAGGTGGGCAGCTCAGTCTTGAATGGAGATGGAAATGAACCTGAAATATCAGAGAGTCAAAACTGTGAGGATGAGGTCAAAGATGAAGAAACCAAAGAAGAAGAAGGAGAAAAGGAAGAAGAACTGGGGGAAGAGGCAGCAATGAAGGCAGAAGAGGAAGAAACCAAAGAGGATGATGAAGAGGGAGAAACAGAAGAAAAAGAAGATGAAGAAGTAAAAGAAGAAGCATCAGAGGAAACAAAGGAGGAAGAGGAAATAAAAGAGGAGGAAGAGAAGGAGAATGAGGAAGAGAAAGTGGAGGAGGAAGAGGAAGAAACAAAAGAGGAAGACACGAAGGAGGAGGAGGAAGCAAAAGAGGAGGAAGAGGAAGCAAAAGAGGAGGAAGAGGAAATGAAGGAAGAAGAAGAAGAAACAAAAGAGGAGGAAGAAGTGAAGGATGACGAGGAAGAGGTAAAAGAGGAGGAAGAGGAAATGAAGGAGGAGGAGGAAGAAACAAAAGAGGAAGAGGAGGAAGAGAAGGAGGAGGAAGAAGAAACAAAAGAGGAAGAAGAGGAAGAGAAGGAGGAGGAAGGAGAAATAAAAGAAGAAGAGGAGGAAGTGAAGGAAGAGGAGGAAGAAACAAAAGAGGAAGAGGAGGAAGAGAAAGAGGAGGAAGAAGAAACGAAAGAGGAAGAGGAGGAAGAGAAGGAGGAGGAAGAAACAAAAGAGGAAGAGGAGGAAGTGAAGGAGGAAGAAGAAGAAGAAATAAAAGACAAGGAGGAGGAAGTGAAGGAAGAGGAAGAAACAAAAGAGGTGGAGGAAGTGCAAGAGGAGGAAGAAAATCCAAAAGAGGATGAGGATGATGAAGAAGCAAAAGAGGAAGAAGAGGGAGCAAAAGAGGAGGAAGAAAATCCAAAAGAGGATGAGGATGATGAAGAAGCAAAAGAGGAAAAAGAGGGAGCAAAAGAGGAGGAAGAAACAAAGGAAGAGGAGGATGAAGTAAACAGGGACGAGGAAGAACAAGAAGAAACCCAAAATGAAGAGCAGGAAGCTGAAGAGAAGTCCAAAACTGAAGATGAAGCTGACAATGAAGCTGAAGAAGCAGAGGAGCCAGAGGATGAGGACATCGGGGCTGATGACGAGGAAGAGACATCTGAATGCGGAGGAGATGCTGATGGAACTGATGACAACCCTGCAGGAGATGCTGCAGAAAGAAATGAAGAAGCTGAGCAAGACGAAGCTGAGGCAGTGGAAGATGCAAATCCAGAGTCAGAAGATGCAGCATGTTCAGCTAAGGAAGAAGACAACAGTGAAGGACGTGACAAATTTGATGAAAATGAAGAGGAACCTATCGGTGATGACCCTGACAAGGCACAAGAAACACATGAAGACAAAGTCAAGAAGGTTTCTGTGAGACCCTCCAAAGCCAAAGGCAGTAAATTCAGAAAAAAAATAGAGATTCTGAACAAAGCAGCCTTTTTTTGTTATTCTTCTGTCCGAAACTTCTCACAGCAATCCCAGAAGGGGTCTGAAGATGAAGCTGAAGAGGTATCCAAAGATGATGACAACTCCATGAACAACCAACCTAATGGAGAGGTTCGAAGTGATGAGAGCAGCAAACCCTCACAGATGTATCCTGAGAGCGAGGAAGAGGATGGAGGATCTTCATGCACTGATCCTTTGGGAAATGAGGACCAGGCAGATGCTGAAGGTGAAGATCCAAAGAAGGTTGAACATACTGATGAAGTTCAGGCTTCTGAAAAGAAAGCAGACTCTGATAAGATTGACCAGGATGACCTGGACTTCTAGAACTGCTCATCAAAAACTGCTTTTTTCTTTCTTCCTTTTTTTTGTTTTCTTTTTAAAGTACATTTTCATTCCATATTACAGTATCTCCAGTGAGTTGAGCCATCATTGGCTTTTCTTCTGAATTAAATGTGGTAAACTTGATCTTGAATCCTGTATCGTTGCAATTACCTGCCCTCATTTCTAGAGGGCTAATAAATTCATTAAGATTTAGTGGTTTCAATAGGAAAAAAAAATGATTTGGGAAAAGGGAAGGCTCTTCTGTTTGTGGTATCTTTTGTTCCCACTCTTTAAGCCATGCTGTTTGCTGCTTGAGTGACCTGTGGCTCTGCTGGGCATCTTCTCTGTGGGACTTCAGGATGCCTTTTGTCTGCTGCATGCCATTTTCCTGGAAAGATCCACAGAAACTTGACAAAATCTGGATTCATTGCCAAAGTCTGGTCAGAGCCCACGGAGATGTAAACTCATTTCCTACCCTACCCTACCCTACCCTATCCCACCCTTCCCTACCCTACCCACCTTCTCCGTATCCAGAAAAAGGGTCTAAGATCTCAAAGTCTTTCCCCATTTTCCCTCTTTTACTTCAGTAGAGGTTGAGATCATTCCTTACTTCAAGTGGAAATTGTCAACCCCAAGAAACGTTACTCCAGTAGATCTCTTCCAGAACATCCATCTGTTTGTACTGTGCTCATCACTGTAGTATGGAATCATGTTAATGGTAGATAAAAATAATGAGTCAATTAATCTGTTGGATATTGGAGAAGTGGGTGAGTGCAATATTGACAAAATTAGAAATGAGGAAAGTTCTGCTCCTTCTTCATACCTTCCCTATGCCACTGGTGGTATCCAAGTCATCTAGGATGCCTCAAATAATCTTGTACAAGGCCATGCTCCAAAGCTGACAGGATTTGGAACTGTTCAGTGCCTCACCCTTGCAGACAACCAGTAAAATTTAAACTCATTTCATACTGAACATGGAAAACTTTGGGGCATTTGTGCTGCAGCAAAGAGCTGGAAGAGGCTCAAGCATTTACTGGAGAGGTTGGAATTTCCAAAGCATGGTAGAACTGCAAACTTCATTTAACAACTTTTCTAACAGGTTATATCATTTTTGGGTTTGTTTTGTTTTGTTTTGTTTTTTTCCCTGGGGCAACACATAAATTTCTGAAAAAATAACCCACTTAACTAATTCCAGTAGAAGTCTGACCACGACTCAGCTGCATGCACATGTATATCTCTTTGGGAAACATTTTATTTGCAGGGAGAATAAATGAGCAAGAAAATAAGAGAGGGTGAAAACAAAATGCCTTAAATTGTATGGTGGAAAACTGTGTGTGTAGTGTTGTGCCAGGTTTGTGAAGGTGCAACCAGACATGGAAAAAATCAATAGTTGACATCAAATAATGAATATTGTTATCATTTTAAGAATCAATCTCTTCAGCTCGTAGCCAATCAGTTGATTCCTGCAGATCAGATTCATTTCACCCATATTAAAAACTGGGTTCTGCTCCAGAGGTGCATAATTCTAGATGTCTGAGAAATGCAGGTCTATGTGGAGCAGTCAGTGGAGAGATCTCAGCTGAGCTGCCCTCACAAGAGCTTACAGTCCTATCTGAGATTCTCCAGAGAGTCCAAGACAGCCACACCATCCTCAGGACAAAGAGGTTAAGATCTGGGTCTTCCTAAGATCTTAAGAAGATCTGGGCAACCCTGTTTGCCTCATGTGGGTGTCTTGGGTTTCCTAGGACATCTCAGGTGGAACTACACCTCTCTCTAGATGCAATTCAGTTGAAGCTTGACTATCTCAAGGTTTGATATCTTGTCTCATATGGTAGTCTCTGTAGACACTGCCATATCTACAATGTTTAGCACCAGCTGAGATGGCCTAGGGGACCCACCATCACACCCCAGTGTTGGTCTGAAGGGGTGCAGATCTTCTGTAGGTCCAGAGTTATTTCACAAGTCCATGGAAATGTCAGGGATGTTCCAGTGCATCTAAAACTGCATTAATCATGGATGTAAAAAAAAACTGAATCCATACCTAAAACTGTGTCAACAAATCCTACCTCAAGAAACTGAAGTATGAACTGAAGTATAAGTTAAAACTGAATGTTAAAACTCAATTGGACTTGAATTAATGGTGTTGTGGTTTAACCCCAGCTGGCAACTTAACCCTCCCCTAGGTGCTCAGAATCCAAAGGGTAAAAGAGAAAACTCATGGGTTGAGATCAAGACAGTTTAACAGGTAAAGCAAGAGCCACACACAAGCAAAACAAAGGAATTCATCCATCACTTCCTACCAGCAGGCAGGTGACCATCTCCAGGACATCCAGGTGGCCTTCTCCAAGACATCCAGGCTCCATTACACATAATGATGACTTAGGAAGACAAATTTCTCCAAATGTCCTCCACTTCCCTCTTCTTCTCCCAGCTTTACATGCTGAGCATGATCTCATGTGGTCTGGGATATCCCTTTGGTCAGTTGGGGTCAGGTGGCTCAGCTGTGTCCCCTCCCAGCTTCTCCTGCACCCCTAGTCTTGACTCTGTGTAAGCTGCTCAGCAACAATGAAAACATCCCTGAATGACCAACTGCATTAGTAAAAATCCAAACCACAGCTCCATAATGTCTACAACGAAGAAAATTAACCCCACCCCAGCCAAAAACTTCATAACAGGAAAATAACTCACTCTTCTCTGACACATTTACACATTTTCTAGCATCTCAGAATTGCACTAGCAGGTTAGTCCTGCCTTGAGGAGCACGTGATGAACACCATGCCTGCTCCAAGGGCCAGTCCTCTAGCCTCTGCACCATCAAAGATCCCTTCAAGGTGCTGTTTGAAGGTTCAAGTAGAAATAGTTGTGTGTGAGCTCAGTGCTGGTCTTTTCACAGAAGTGAGCATGGCATCTGTGGGTTGACTGTCTTCAAGCAGCCACTGTTCACAGGACTTGATAATACTGCTGACTCCTCCCTGACTAGATTTATGCTCATGGTTAAAGACACCACCCACACAGCACCAGTGAAAACTTCAGGGCAGTTCTCCCCTTCTGTGGTGATGTCCCATGACATCACTATTCTGACTCCCTCTTAAACCTTTCCAAGATTTCCACAAACCAACTCTAAAACACTTTTTAAGGCGTCCAGAATGAGGACATCTGGAGATCACCTAGCCCAGCACCCCTGCTCCAGCAGCATCACCCAGAGCAGGTTGCCCAGGACCACATCCAGGTGGGTTTTGAATATCTCCAGAGAACGTGAGTCCTCAGCCTCTCTGGGCATTGAAACGTTTGAATTCAAGCTGTGACTACCTCTGCAGCTTGGAAGCTGGCCAGGTACCACCAGGTTGCTTGGCTCAAAACCCAGCCTAGGGACATTGGGTGAAGGCTGTGGCATCTTCCTTCACTGAAGCTTGTGAGGAAGTTATTCCAGATGCCAGGGAAAAAGAAGTTTGCTGCTGAAAGAAACCTTCTATTCAGCAGTTGCCAGTCCCTGCAGGAGAACAACTGGCCCAACATGGCCATTCAGTGACTCTGCACCATCCATCTTTCCCCATCAGTAGCAACTGGCAGGTACAGAGTCACGTGTAGAAGCATTTTGGTTTCATTTCTGAGACACAAATTCTTGCAGGATTTCAGAAAGGCACCAAGTTAGGTAGTCACAGCTCTGATCTTGGCATGAGACTCTGGAATGGGTACACGTAGACTTAACTTCAGGCATGTCTGGTGAAGATGTCTCCTTCTGGGCTTACCATCCAGACTCCCATTATAACCAGCAGGGAGAGAGAAGCAAAGAAGAGCATGATTCATCTGCTGTAGACAACCTACATCAGGAGGACATGAGTTACACTCTTCATTTCTCTCTGCTGAGTGCACTGGGAGTCTAGACAAGTTGCTCAGCTGGAGATGTCTCACGTGGGAAGAGCTGATCCCAGCATAGCTTCCCAAAAGCATTTTTAAATGCTTATGGTGGTGACCTGTAGACTTCCAGGCAACAGCTAAAGCCAGTTATCCCATGGAGGTTTGAAAAGTGTTTGTTGGCTCCGAGGCCCCTCTTCTGTGCTCTTGCTAAAAGCCACTGCTGGAACTGAAGGAGTCAGTGAAAGGGCTGACATTTCCCAGGACTTCTCCAGCTGTTGAATTTGCTCATTTTAAAGCCACTTATAGTCAACATCATACTCTACCCTTGTTGACTCAGTATGTTCTCCACTTCAAGTACCAGCAAGGAGAGAGAAATCAAATAAAACAGAAAAATGTCATTATGGAACCATGAAAAACAAAATCCCTGGAGTTCCCCCCATGAGACCTGTCCCACTCATAGAATGGTTTGGGTGGGACAGGACCTTTAAAGGTCATCCAGTCCAACCCCCCTGCTGTGGAAAGGGACATCTGCAGCTAGAACAGGTTGCTCAGAGTTCTGTTCCAGCTGGAATGTTCCCAGGGTTGGGGCATCTACCACCTCCCTGGATAACCTGGGCCAGTGTCTCACCACCCATCATGAAAACTTTCTTCTACCTAGCCTAAATCTCCCTCTTTTAGTTTAAAACCATCACCTCGTGTCCTGTGCTACAACCCTGCTAAAAAGACTGTCCCCATCTTTCTAACCCATCCCCTTTATAGTTCTGAAAGGCCACAATAAGGTCTCCAAGGTCTGAAGTCTGTGTTTGGGCAGGGACTGACAGGAGCCCATCCTCATCAAGGCAGCGGGGACCCTCCACCCCTAGGACCTGCTCCCGAAGCCCCATTCCAAGGGTGTGGGGAGCAGTCACAGGAGGCAGACGTGGACGAATTAGATGTTTCTCCTCCATCAGCCTCTCCCATCATCACCCAGAGCATCGGCGACTGAGGCACGAAGCTGAACAGGATCCCTTGCAGTCCCACCTCCTGCACCTCTTCCAAAGCTCCCATTTCCCCTCGGCTGGGATGACTCACGCTCGTGTTTGGTCTTGCAGCTTCCCTCTCCCTCTTGCAGCGGTGGAACACGTGTCACCGGGCAGCTCCAGAGC